AAAGCAGAGCCAAATCAAAAAGCCAATGATGGCGACGCGGTACCCGACCGTGACGACGTGGGCCGTGAGCGCCGGCGCGTCCGTGACGCTAAAGATGATCGTTGTCGAAAGTGGTATGAGGCAGAGCAAGAACGAGATCGCCATCGACCGCTTCAGCGCGGGCCGCGACACGGACCGTTGAAAGAGGAACGCAATGACCAAAAACACGATAAACTGCCGGCCTTCGTACAAAAATTCGGTAAAAATCGAGTTGAAAATCGGCTTGGTGTAGTCGGCGATCGACGCGACGATAAAGTACAACGTGTACGAGCCGGTGACGGCGCACATGACCCAGATGAGCGGCTCGAAGGACGGCAAGAGGATCTTGCGCGCCGCGTCCGAGTCGCCGAGGTACGCGGTCGCGCGGTGCCGACGAAGGTAGACGACGCACGCGACCGAGAGAAGAAACATGGCGCCATACCCGACCGTATACAAAATCTGGAGCACTTTAAACTGCGCGATGATCTTGTCGCGCGCTGCTATCGCCGCCAAGGCCGCCGGCGACAGCGTCGCCTCATCCGCGCGCCGCAGGTGTTGCTCAACGATGGACATGGCAAAAGGCAAAGTGCAATCGGGATGGAAGCGATCGGTAGCCAGCTTGGGTAGCCTACCGGTATTGCTTTGCATTCAGGCCAGTCACGGGCTCAGTTCGCCCACTGGGTACAGGATTTCTCCGGTTTGAACGTTCTTCGATAGTATGTCGTTGAAGAGAGGGATCTGCGTCGAGAGTGCAACCAAAGGTCACGGATGTAAGATTAGAGAGAGGCCCTTGCGCCATGCGTGCCTACCACCTGTAGTTGTCGCCAGTTTGCGGACGACAGTACGTACGTAGTATGCGTCGGTTGTATGCATGCACACCCACAGCGTTATCACCGCACCCACGATTTGGCAGGTAATACACTCAGCGGTGCGAGGATGCCGTACTACTGTACTGCAGCAGTGGTCAGCCGACGACCGAACGCATGGTACTTGTCCGTCCGCGTTGTTTCTCGAAATCGCAACCGGGTTCTCTGACCCCATGTCGCGAGTAACATATTATGGCTACTCGTGGGGGCAACCATTGTGCAAGTACAGGTACTGCCCTCGCTGATACTGGTACCATCGTTGGGTTGGGAGATGCACGCTGGGATTTGGTCACCCGCTATTCTATGCTTTTTCTGCCGTGCTGTTACTGTGCGAGCGTGTCACGATCGTGGACGTCGTCACTCCACATCATCGCCTCGTCGTCGTCCGTCTCTGGCTCCAAAAGCATCTCGACCGCCGACCGCTGCTTCTTGTACAGTCGGTACCGGCGCTTTGCCCGCTTCAAAGCGGTGCCAAGGCCTTGGCCATGTAAAGGGCACTTGCAGCTGCCGTCGTCGTCGAGCGCAAACGCCAATAGCGACGACCGTCGCGCCGACGGCTGCCACGTGTACTGTATCCGTGGGGTGTTTTGAAAGCCGCGCGCGTGCTTGACGTCGTGGAGGTGTCCTGTCTCGAGGAGTGCGTTGCCGACGCGAACGGCTTCGAATTTATCGCGAATGCCACGCTTGGCGTCGATGAGAGCGTCGACGAGCTCGGCGCCCGTCGTGGGCGTCGTCTCGCGCTCAAGGGCCATGGCCAGACGCGCCGTCTCGTCCTCGAGGAGGGAGGCGAGGATCGTGACCATGGAAGCGGCCGACGGTCGGTCGATCGCAGCAGGTGCCCACGCAGCGACAAGCAGTTTCCGCAGTGCTGGCGAGAGGGTATCGCGCAGCGGCGGGCGCGCGCCGTCGAGGACGAGTGTGAAGATGTGCATGTGATTCTTCGTGCCGCGCGGGTACTTGAACTGGCGCGGGTGCAAGATGTCCCATAGCGTCATGCTCAAGCTAAAGACGTCCGAGGCGGTCGCATACGACGCAGCACCTCGCTTGCCGTCGATCATCTCGGGCGCCATGTACTCGACGGTGCCGCGCACCGACATGCGCTGGACGTCGGCGACGCGCGACTCGCCAAAATCCGACAACTTGACGCGGTGATTGGAGGCATCGAGGAGGTAATTAGCGGCTTTGATGTCGCGGTGCAAGAGCGGGGGTGAAAACGAATGCAAAAACGCCACGGCGCGGACAGCGTCGAGCATGTAACACAGCTCGACAAGCGGTGACAGTGGCGGCGTGCAGCTCAGCAAGTCGTCGAGACTGCC